TATATGTATGTATGTACATGTATTGTATGTGTGCTTTCAATATCTATGGATAATAATTATTTTGAGTTTTACAGATACAGCGACTGCTCGAACACATGGTAATTGTTCGCATATAATGTCGCAGACAATCGAACTCTTAATTTACGATTTGGGAGATGACCACTCCCAGATGATGACCAAATGGAGTCTTAATTTTAGCATCATTGACATCAAAAATCAAACTGTTGGCAAGTTTCTTGATTACTTAGAAAATAAACAAAATATATCATTGAGTTCACATATTGCATTCGAAAAAGCTTGGAATATACCTGAAGATAAAGTGTCTTACACGATCACACCTCTAACGACTCCATTGTGCGAAGCAATCGATTTATTTTATAATAAACCAATCGATAAGCTACAATACGCATTATTTGTTGGAACGAAACAGACTCCAGAACAAGTTTTAACGAAAAGATTATTGAGGGGTCTAGTCCTCGACCATCATATGGGACTCTTTAAGATCGGCATCTTGTCCCCAGTTACCTTCAAAAAAAGCTATCAGCCAGTTGAAGATCCTACTGGGACAGGCGTTGTTTTCAAGAAGCGTATTATCGAATTGGTCGATACCTCAGATTTTAAAAAATCTAATAAAAATGAATTTTCTACTAAAATATCAGAATTCATCACGACAGCTACGGCGGATTATTTAAAAGAGAATAAAAACACGTCGAAGAGTTCAATGAAAACAAAGTATGCAGTCGCATCACTATTAAACATGAAAACTCGACTAGTTATGGAAGAAACTAGAATAGATCTGGAGCCGTTATTCGTCACGGAACTTTATTCCATCGTGGATGGCAATTTACAATCGTTAAATCGCACGATAAAGGTCGTCGAGCTATTGAACCGGTACGGATGGTATGTACCAAATCAATTTACTGTTGGAGGACGACTTGATGTCGTCGAAACTTTGCATGAATCGAGTGGCTCGAATAAGACGAAAGAACTGGATAATTTAAAAAATAAGGTGAAAGAAGCATATAATGAATTTGGTAGAAGTGTACGCACTTCTAATAAGAAGGACTTGAGCTCTGAAAATACACCATGGGGAATGATTTCATATCACCGTGTGACTTCAACAGTAGACGGGGCGATTGATTTTGCGTCTTTCATGGAAAATGTGAAAATTGAAAAAAATTGGCAGATTATCGCATTGGATAATATTATACCGACCTGTAAGTTCTTGTTAAGGGAGCACAGTCAATTGTTTGCTAACATTCGACGATTGATCATACAAAACGCCCATCGTGAATTAATCCGCAACTTGCAACCCCACCTAAATATGATGAAATATATGAATGACATATGGGATGAACATGTTCAGCCATTCTGAGCTAATCCGTATGAAAAAAGGCTTATTGAAGCAATACAACTTATTCCAAAAATATTATTCTTTATTGTCTTAATTCGTAACAAAATAAATGCTCGCTAAATAACATGTTTCGCCTTTTTTTTTCTTTTTTTGTCCAGGACGATTTATTTTCAAGAATATGTATAACATGGTCGCAGCTTATTTCAACCACCATTATTTTATCACATGAATTTTCCCACAAGAAATTATTAAAGAATATTTTATTTAAGAAATTCGATATTTCTTCTTCCAAAATGAAAGTATTAAAAGAAAAACATTCAAGTTAACAAACTTATGAAGCATGTTTTGTTGGCTTAAATAGTTCCTAATGTCACTTGAAAGATTTTTATATCCTTTGGCGACATTTCCGACCCTATAAAGAAAAAATATTCTTGATCCGGATCACCTCTTCAGTTGGAGGTGCATTTCGGTCTGTCTGTTTCTACTTATTTCTAACTAGTCTCTCAGTTTTAGAGCTATCGACCTGAAACTTTGAACACACCCTTCATTCCTTTTCACGCAGTATATAAATCGGAGCATCGGCCGTAGCAACTTTGGTATTTTTGAAAATAGATCGTGCGACTTTGATTTTAGATATTTTATTGTAATAAATTGTTGATATATTTTAATCCGATGTTTTGCGATATTTATCCGGTTTTAACTGCAAGGGTTTCCTTTCTTGTTTTATATTTATTTAGCAAAAAAAGGACCTTAAAATCAAATGGAAGACAAAAAATGTAAATATAAGCCAAGCCAGGATTGAGTATTCGTACTTAAAATATCTAAATAGTTTATATAAAGGTGATGAATAATTTTGGCAACACCTTTTAACAAACACCTTTGGTGGCAACACCTTTTTAACAAAGGCTATTCAAATAAATTCTAAAAAATTCTTCTAATTCTTAAATATTACTTCATATTGTAATGTTTATAAAAATCAATCGTTTAAAAATTGTTTGAAATTGTTTTTTGGCTGTGATATGTTTTGAAAATTTGCACTACTATTATTTTACCCGATTGATTTTTTGTTGATTTAAGCATTTTTATTTTTTTCTAAAAACAGTTTTTGTTGTCCCAAGCTTTTAGTTATTTCTTTAGGTTAGGTCCTATCTTTAGTTGTAGTATCTTACCGTTGCAGACACCGTCTTACCGTTGCAGACACTGCGACTACTCAATCTCCTGGTATATGTTCGGATACTACGACGCAGATAGCACTCTCAATTTACGATTTGGAAGATAAAATGTCAAAATCAACTCTTTATTTGAAAGACATTGAAATTAAAAATCAAACTGTTGGTCAATTTCTTGATTACTTGGAAAATAAACAAAATATATTCTTGAGCTCACATATTGCATCCGTTAGAGTTTGGGCAATACCTGAACAAAAAGAGTCTTACACGATCATACCTCTAACGTCGCAATTGTGTGAAGCAATCGATGTATTCGATAATAAAGAAAATATAAAGCAATACACATTATATGTTGGAGCCAAACTGGCTCCACGACAAGCATTAATAAGAAGATTTTCGAAGGGTCTTGTCCTCGATCATCATACGGGTCTCTTCAAGGTCTGCACGTCGTCACCAGTTATCTTCGACAAAACCTATCAACCAGTTGAAGTACCTTTACCAATAAGCGTTGCTTTCGAAAAGCGTGTTATCGAAACGGTTCATACAACAGATTTAACAGAATCTAATCAAAATGGATTTTCCATTGAAATATCAGCATTCATCATATCAGTTGAGACGGATTATTCAAAAGAAAAAACAAAAACTTCGAAAAGTTCAAATAAAACTAGGAATGCAGTCGTCTCACTCTTAATCAAGAAAATACTACTTTCAGTGGACGAAAGTAGAATGGATCCGAACCCATTATTCATCAAGGAACTTTATTCCATCGTGGATAACAATAACATGCCAGCCTTTGATCGTACGAAAAGGGTCGTCGAGCTATTAAACGAATATGGATGGTACGTACCAAATAAATTTACTCTGGGGGGACGACTGGACGTCGTCAAAAGCTTGACTGAAACGAGTTCCTCGAGTGAGACGAATGAACTGGACAATTTAAGCATCAAGTTGGGTGCGGCATATAGCGTTTTTAGTGGAAGTGTGGGGACTTCTTCTAAAAAAGCCTCGAGCGCTAATAACGCGATATCGGGGTTTTCTTCTAATGAACGTGTCACGTCAACCGTAGACGGAGCGATTAATATGGAGTCTTTCCTGGAAAATGTGAAAATTGAAACAAATTGGCGGATCATCGTATTGGATAAAATTATACCGACCTGCAAATTCTTGTTAAGGGAGCACATTCATTTATTTGCTAGACTTCGACGATTGATCGTAGAAAACGCCCATCATGAATTAATTCGCAATTTGCAACCCCACCTAAATATGATGAAATATATGAATGACATATGAGATGAACATGTTCACCCTTTCTGAGCGAATCCGATAAGGAAAAAAAACCAAATCAAAGCAATTAAACTTGTTTCAAAAATATTATTCTTTACTTTATTAATTCTAAAAAAATAAATGCTCGCTATAGAACAAGTTTTGTTTTTTTTATTTCTTTTTTTCATAAAAAGCTTGTTTAAACCCCTATTTTTTATGCCCTCGCAGAGGGTATTATTATTTTGGTTAAAAGAGTGCAACGCAGTGAAGGAGACCTGTCCGACCCTATAAGGTATATTATTCTTGATCAGGATCACCTCCTTAGTTGTTATGAGCATGTCTGTCTGTCTGTTTCTACACGAACTTGTCTCTCAGTTTCAAAGCTATCGACTTGAAACTTTGCACACACCCTTATTTCCTTTGCACGCAGTATATATGTAAGTCGGTACTGCCGGGACCGACCGACTATATCTTATAGCTGCCATATAACTGATTGATCGGAAATGCCATAACTTTGGATGATATGAGATGATATGCAATGATATGAGAAACTTTCTCTCTTAATGTCATTTTTCGTAAGTGCACAATAAAAAATGTCAAACATTTTTTTTATGTTCAGAATTATAAAATTATAAGTTTGTAATCTGAACATTGGGAACTTCGTAAAATTAGTTGTTTTTTAATTTCTTAATTCGCTCCTAATAGTGGGGACAGAATTTTTGTTAGTTTAATGTGGACAAATTTTTTTTTTTTAAATAAAACGGTTGCAGTAAAAACTAGAAGATTATATTGTATTATTTTATTAAAATTATTATATCAGATTATATTATATTGTATTATATTATATTTCTTATAATTTTTAGCGCCATCTATTGTTTTTATGTAAAGAAAAGGCTGCTAGATCTTCAGAAATTGTTTTGAAAAGTCGTGGTTGCCAGATCATTAGAATTTATTTTATGACACTTATTTGACATTGGGGCAGCACTTACAATATTTAAATGCTTACCACCATAAAGAACTGGAAGGACAGTAAGAGACTTGAGGGCTATGTACTATACTACATACTGAGCAGGGTGGATACTTACTGATTATGAAGCAAAATAGTTTTGTTTTAAATGCTTTTATATTTAGAATTATTGCTAAAACGAGTAATCGCACTTATCCTTTTCTCCGCTTGCGTACCGTTGCTTGGTTTCTTGAAAGGATTGGCTAAAGTTTTCCCTTATTTCACGTGACTTTGTAGATAAAACGAAAAGATTCCCCCTTGAAGGAGCTAGAAGCTCTTTCTGGACTGACACCGCTCGAAAGCCAGGTCAATGGGCTTCACACAAAGCTTCTCCGCCACGAGCTTGTACTTGGCCAGAAGGGTGTTCGGATAGGGCAGCGCCCGCAGGTCCTCGACGTAGTTCATGTGGGCCCTTTCGTTTTCGCCGGGCAGCTGGACGGGGCTGCCATCATTTTGCGACTGGCTGTCTTTAATCCGACCACAAAAATCATCTAACCTCTCCGTGAAATTGGACAAAAACAACTCAGGATTGATGGCAACGAAAACCTGGCCGAGATTTGAGGGTTGGCTCTGATTATGGGGAATTTTTGTGGCATATTGGGCATCGGATAAAACTCCGCATAATAAATCAATGATGCAGGCAAGGGTGAATCCCTTGTGGCCACCGGCGGCAAAAAGACGCTGAGCACGCAACGCCAGATTGGGAAAACAGGTGGAGAATCCCGACTCATCCGCCGCCCATCCATGGGGTATATACTCGTTCGTTGACCATGCCCACTCTATGGCTCCCAAGTCCCGCACGCTGGCCGCCATGTCCAATGCAAAGTGAGACTTTTCTCCCTTCACACAGAAGGCTAAGCAATTGGCTCCAATGCTAGCCTCCTGAGAATCCGGTGACACCATAGAGGGCACGGCATTTGACATCACCAGGCCGGCGAAGCCACGAACCGCCGCCCGGAAAGCATACCAACTGGCCATTCCAAAGTGATGCGACTTCTTGGCCACCACGAATCCTATGCCCGCTTTCTGGGCTTTCTGAACAGCCAGATCCATGCAGAAATCCCCCACAATGACGCCCAAAGCGGAGTTGCCGTCCACGTGGGCTGTGGCGGCTGTTTCGTTAATGACGCTTGGCTCGGCGTCCGCTCTGGCATGGCCCATTTGCAGGTCACTCAGATAGCCATCCAAGCGATTCAGGCCGTTTCCGAAGTTTCCGCGATAATCGGCCACCACCAAGAACTCGCTAATGGAACGCAACTTGCTGGTAGGCACATTCATCCGAAGCAAACAATCCTGTATGAATCGGCGCGCCTCATCCACCAGGACCAGAGATGTTTCACCTCGCTGCACCGGAAAATGGACGGGTTTCTGGAAACCCCGATGCGCAGGCGAGGCCCTGTGGTAGGTCCGATGGCTTCGACTTGTCCTGGCGAGGCATTGAATTGGTCGGTTGAGCCACAACATTGTTAGCATTCCAGGATGTAAGTCAAAAGAAATATCCGGCTGGGTGGCTAAGTGTTTATATATATTTACGGGTTACTGGGGTCAGATTTAAAAAGTAAGCAAGGTTAAGACGCTCCTGAAACATGCTCAGATTCTAGCTTCAAGTTCTTTTTGAATCTCGGTCTGATCTCTGATTCAATGTTCCAGAGGGCTTTTTCCAATATTTCTTAGTTTTATAGTTTTCAGAAACATTTTCATAAGTAATTCATTTGGTTGGTAAGTAATATTTAGAGTACTTTAGTACATTTTAAGCAAGACTTTGAAACATCAATCTACTTGGACTTTTTAAGCACTTTTATCTTATGGATGTTATACAGGGGTGCCGCAAAAAACACTTCTACCCAAATTTCGCTCCAATTTCACATACGCCGGTTTTGGGTGATTTAAAAATTTAAAAAGCACCAAAAAATCGTTAGTTTTGCCTTTACTTTTACTTTTATAGGAAAAGTTTCTTTGATCCATAAAGAGCGTTAAATTTGTGAATAAATTGCGTAAAAAAAATAAAACTTAATTCGTTAGATTCAAAAAAAAAAAGGTTTGAAAAAAAACATTTTTTTGAAAAGTGGCCTAAAACTTTACAGTTTTGAAGGTGATTTTGATCGACAGTGATGCCACGTTTTGAATGTATTCGTTTGAATAAAATGTATTGAATGAAGCTCAAATTAGTTTTTACCCATTTATTATGAATTGAATGTGTCATTGTAATGCATTTTTTTCACAAATAATTATTTCAAATCAATTAGAAGCCAAAAGAAATGTTTCATTATGCAATCTGGCAGCATTTTTAACTTGCACCAAAATGGTTTTTGTCTTGGCTAAACCACTCGGAATTCTGTGCCTGGGTAATCATTTTTCAGTGTTTTTGAGCTTTTCTGTGGCACCCCTGATAGATTTTGCATTTTTTATCTGAATTTTGTGTAATGCAGACATTTCTTTAATATGGATTACAATATTTTTAATGCAAAAGTGGATACTGAGTATATTGTTGGGATATAGTGGATATACGGATGTTGAATCCCAAATATTCGCGAATGCCCTAGCCGGGCACTTAATTCAAGGCGGTGGAAGTCAAAACGGCGACGCCACGCTCATAGAAACTGTGCGAATCCTGTCCGGCAGCCACCGCCAAGTCCACGGTGAAGAGAAGCTCTGTTTGGGTGGAGTTCAAGTAGACGGGCAACGTGAGCTTGCTGATACGAGTCTCCGAGGAGATCCTGGTAGATAACTTGGATTAATAAAAACTCCAATGAATCATCGGATTATACTTAATTGACCCACTTGAGGATGGTAAGGGACAGGTCCATCATAATGGTGGAGGCGAGCAGTAGCTCGTTGTTCTTGCATTGAGCGCCCTGGAGCTTCAACCCGGTTACGCCGAAGCAACAATCCTTCTGATCGGTCTTCAGACCAGCATCCGTGATGGTTACTTCCAGGGCCAGCTCCTCGAGCGACCAGCTGTTCGCCTGGGCCACGCACTGCCTGGTGGCCGTTATGTAGGCCTCCGGGTTGAGCAGACCACCCAACCAAACGGGGAAGCCCTGCAGCTCCTTGGCTCCCGCCTGCGAGACCAGCTGCGACACCTTCTGCAGCTGCTGCACCCGGTTGCTGAAGTCCGTGATCCACTGGATCACCGTGCAGCCAGCAGGAACAGTGTATCGCTTCCAGCCCTTCGGGATGATGCCGCGCACCAGCTCGGAGAGCATGGAGCGGTGGTGGTTGGTCTGCTTCTTCTCGCCCTGGCAGATCAAGACCACATCCTGGAGATCTAGGATCACCGTCTGCAGCAGCCGGGCGCCGCTGGTCACCTCGCGTTCGAAGTAGCGGTACAGTGGGTCCTTGATGTTCTCCACTGTGCGCTTCAGCACCTGCAGGCTCTTCGGGAGCAGTTCCAGCCAGGCGGTGGCCGAGTTGTGCAGCGTCTTCATCCAGGACGGACGTCCGTCCTCGCTTCTTGCCACTGCAGAGGCCGACTGCTCCGACTGATCCTCCACGCTGTATGCCAGCTCATCGTCGTCCTCCAGCTGCTGCATCTTCAGCAGCTTGCTGACCAGATCGGTTCCCCTGGTCGTGAGCAGAACCTTTTCGGCGTTGTTCGGCAGTCCCAGCCACGAAGGCGTCTGGCGATCTGTGAGGTTCTCAATCCACTTCAGGAAGTGATCGCGGCGAGTTCCGTCTGGCATAGTGATGTGCCGGAGGCCACCGGAGGATCCATCTACATTGGCCACCAAGGCAAAGTCTGCCTCGAAGCTGCGGGCGGTGAAGAGTTTCTTCAGGAAGGAGGTCAGCAGCCGCTGATCGAAGTCGTTGTCGATCTTGCCTCCATAAATGGACTGGGACAGAAGCGTGAACAGAGCATCCCATGGCACCTTCTCCGGCGGGAGGTTGGTACGACCCATGGCTGTGGTGTCGATCCAGGTGTCCAACGTATCGCAAGCGACACGGAGATCCGACTCGTTAAACTCGTACTTCTTGGCCCAACCCAGGGGCACGTAGCGAAGGCGCTCCTAGACGATGGCATGGAACCAGGCCAACAGGAAGTACAGGCGTGCCCGCTCGCTAGGAGCCTTCATCATCCTGGCAGCCGGAACAGTGGAGAAGGTGCGCAAAAGGTTGGCCCGAATACCCGGTGGAGGTTCGAACACAAAGATGCGGCCTGCACGGAGAAGGTTGACTGGCACCTTCGGGTTTATTTCCATAGTGAGGAAGAGCCGGAAGCCGGAGTGCGGCTGCAAGGAATGCATCTTCTTCTCCAGTTGGACCAGCCATTGCGGCGCCAAGTGAGCGTTCTTCAGCAGGACCCAGCGACCGCTCTTGCAGGCCATGTTGATGGCCCGTTCGGCCTGGTTGAAGCCCTCGGCGGATCCGATGGCGATGCTGGATATCTGCTTGTTCTGCTCCGCAGCCAAGTCATCCACGCGTCCAGAGGCATCGAATCCAGGCACGGAGCACAGCAGGGCCGGGGTGTTGCAGTTCAACTGCTTGTCCACCACGTTGGCAAAGTCAAGTTCCTGCTCGGCGTTGGGCATGAAATCCTCGCCCAGAACCGTGTTCACCACATTGTGAGCGGCGGCGATGACGCGGTCCGGCCGGAAGACCTGGATCAGCAGCAGCTGATGAACGGAGCTGACTATCGGGCTGAGGGCCTTGGACTCGTCCCACAACTGCGGCACCACCTGCTCCGGAGAGCTCTGCTGCAGCCAGGCACCCAGCTCCGGCATGGCGCGCACTTTCTCTAGCAGCTTTCGGAAGATGGGCAGCCGGGTGGCCAGGCGGTTGACTCCCTCCACCTGCTCGCCAGATAGGCCCTCCACGGGCGTGGGATTGGCCAGCAATCCTTCGCGGCTGCGCAGGAAGAAATTGAACTCGGCATCCAGGTTGGACTCCGAGGTGCCCTTCAAATGGATCTTGCACATGAGCAGAGCGAAGGTCAGGCGGTCGTTGTGGAGCATTCCACGGGCCACTCTTTGGTAGCAGACCTGGAACAGATCCTTGGTCACGATGCCCAGACGCTCCGAGTGGTCCGACTTGCCCTCCAACCTCGGATTGTTGTACAGCACGGTCGAGAATATGTCGAGGAACATCTTTAGCGAGTACTGGTACAGAAAGTGCACCTGGTTAAGGCTGTCCATGGTGAAGTAAATATTGCTGCACGCCACCGAGAGGGGAAGGTACTGCTGGGACACCGTCTCAATCTCAGCTATGACCTTGTCGGTCTCGTCCACCATCTGGTTGATGTCGTAGGCCTCCTTCTTGAGGGTCTCCAGGGTGGTAAACACCGAGTCGTCGTCCAGGATCTTGCCCTTGGCGTCGTTCAGCGCCTGCAGCAGGCTCTTCTCCAGCTGGCGGAGTCGCAAACGGAACTCGCCCTGCAGCTTCAGAAGATCGGAGCGCTTCTCATCGATGTCTGGGCGCTCCGCCTTCAGCACTTGGTTCAAGCACTGCGACTGGAGCGAGCTTCGGGTCACAGTGAAGTTCACAAACGTAACTCCGGAGCAGATGTCCGGAGGGAACTCGACAGTGGGATCCCGAGTGGACAGGAATATGACGAACGAGGGTGACAAGTCAATATACTGGTCACCTAGAGTGATCAGCACTCGACCACCCGTGCGACGCAGTTCGCGATTGAGCACGGGATTCAGAATAGGGTCATAGTTCTCCACGTCTTGCACCAGCAGAGGATTACCGAAGCGGAGCGCGGACTCCAGATTCTTGCGGAAAGATTCGTCCAGGAAGGACGTCTTCGTGATTTTCTTTCCGGCATATTCGTTGAGCAGGAAGGTAGTGGCCTGACCCGAGGGATCGATGATCAGAGGGTAGCGGTTGAAGCGCTTCAGCATGATGGCGTTCTCCGTGCACAAGTCGTCCGTGGGCAGGGCGTTGGCCTGCCACCTGAGACGCTCGTCGGGATTGGACAGATACTCGGTGCGTGCGATGTCTGCCCGGTATTGGATGCTGGCCGCCTGGAGATGCTGCGACCAGGTGGTGAACAGATTCAACCGATAGTGCTGGTCGAAGTAGCCACCGTAGGCTATGAAGGCTGCGGACAGCAGCACGTCGCCCACAATCGTGGACATCTGAGACTTGAACGTCTCGCTGGTAGACTCCCAACGCTCTCGCTCAATGTTGAGGCTCTTGAGCAAAGCGATCGAGCGGTCCACCTTGGCCTGGACGTTCTCCAGATCCGTTTTGATGGCCTGGGCCTGGGAAATCAACTGAGCGTACTCCTCCTTGTAGGCAGCGATGCTGCGCTCCAGCTGCTCCACCAGGTCCTTGGTCTCCTTGGCGCTGGCCAGGTTAACGTCGGCCTGCTCCTCCAGCGAGCGCAACTCCTCGCGCAAGGGCTCGACGCGCTTCAGCATGTCGGCATACTCAATCTGGAAGTGGAACGGAATCAAGTTAAAGGAGTCCTTTCTTACTCATCATGAGCATTAGTCTCACCTGAGCTATGGCCCATTTAACCATGGGTCCGCACGCCATACTGGCACGGTTGACCTTCTCGAAGTTGTAGTCTGGGTTGCTGAGGTACTTGGACTTCATCTTCTCGCGCACCTCATCGCTTTCGGGAATACAAGATCATTATTAGACGAGCCTCAAGCCAGGGGTTTGGTGGTTAGTGAGTATGAAGGCAAGCAAAGCATCGGGATTACTACGAACCAGCGAAAAGTTCGCCCAAAACCATTAAAGTTCAAACAAAAGTGGCAGCCAATAACCAAAATTAGTTTGAAAATAAGTAGGCATTAGAGAGTATTGCAAATATTTACAAACCATAGGGCGGCCGCAGCTCGCCTGTGAAACAAAACTACGCAACAAAATCAAACAAAATCCAATTTCTACTCTCAAAACTAGGGCATAACAGCATCAACATCAAAAACATCAACGAGAAACAACTGGATTCGAGTCGAGAACGAAATGGGTGTGGGTGTTGGTAATAACTTGGTTCATGCTTACGTTATGTTCTCGGTACCGAAGTTAGATACAATTGAATTTATGAAATTTTCGCGCATGATCACGGCCCGGATCGATTTCCAATCGGTCGCATTCTCGCCCAGCAGCAGGCAGATCGATTCCAGGGCCAACTTGACCACCGACGGTGGATTAGCCATGGTTCGCACCTCAACGAGCTGTTGCTTGCGTATCGACTTGACCGCTGCACATCGTCGATCGTCGATGGTCGATGGTCGATGGGTTGGGAGTGGTTAACGAGGAGGATCAGAATTAATAAACGGATGTTATTAGATTAGGCTAGTTATAGTTATTTACTAAGGACCCGCTCTCTCGGGGCGTTACATCTGGCACCTAGTCTTCGGTCGGGGTTACGACTGCTAGTTAGTCATACCCTTGCACCATCTCTAGTGACCTCAAAATAAGTACAGTAGGATCGGCCAGCCGATCGAGAATCTGTGAGACAGTGTCCTGTGGAGCATCCCTCTTTCGAAAGGTCAGTCTTTAGTTTCACACACACAGAGGCGAAAACGTCTATACAGCCTCGGACATCGGATGTCCTGGGTATCGGTTAGGGGTTATATGTTGAGCTTAGCCAGTGCGCTGCGTATGCTTTGGTGTTGGTTGGAGTATACAGTGTACATGTTGGGTTATGGATGGCATGTTTGGATTATACATTTATGGGAGGAGGATCGATCGCGGTTCGGATTAGAGATGAGGTGCTGAAGTGGGAGCGTGATGCTAGAGAGAAAGGTTGCGTACGTGATCTTGTCAGTCTCCAAGTTAACGATCGAGGAGATGAAGCTGTCTTTAACGAGGATGCCCCTAATGGCCTTCCAGTCGGTGGCACTCTCGTTCAGCAGCTCGCAGACCGACTCCAGGGCCAGCTTGACCACGGCCGGTGGATTGGCCATCGACCTCACCTCGGCCAGGTGTTTCTTTTTGATCGAGCTAACGGCTATGGGAGGAGTGGGAATGTGGCAGTGAGTTAGGTGTGGTGTGGTGGGGTTCAAAATTAAAAACACGTCATTATAATTATTGAAATCAAAGGCGATGAGGTCCCTCCTTGTGGACACAACACAGTCTCGCGACACTTCGTCCTTAGGGAATACCTTAATGCTAGGTAACAGATCTTTATGTCCCTCCCTCTGGTGCCCTGTCGCCCGACGAACTCACCTTGCTGGGCTTCGATGACAGCCGGCTCCACCTGAGCCAGGTCGGCCATCACATATTTGCGCTTCTCCTCGATCTTGACTGTTTGGTCGGCCAGCCGGATCTGGATCTCCTGCGACTAGATCTTCTTCTTCTCGGCCTCTTGCTGGTCCTGGAACATCTGCTTGAGCTACGCGTTGGCCGCCTCGTTCTTGGCCTGTAGTTCCTGCTTCTTCACCGCCAGCGACTTCCGTTTCAGTATTACCTTGTTTTGGTTGGGGTTATTTTGTTTCAACGATTTTCACGTTTTTTGTTTGCCAAAAAAAATGTATCTTAAACAATAAGTTTAACATCGTTAAACCACTTCATCAACAATATCACCCAGAGTGACCAACAAATCCGCACTGACCAAAAAAATTTCCGAATCTGGTGCACCACACCCATTACCAAGACGAAGGACACTTCCCGACCTTTAAGCTGCTACTGTACGAAGACTGTTGACGACAAACTTGTAAAAAAAACCCCATTATTTGCTAACAATTAGGTTTTGAAATTCAATATCATCTTCGATTTAAAAAATGGTTGTGTCTGTTGTGGTGCAATTTGACTCCCGAAGAAATAAAACAAGGCTTAGTTTTCAAATAAAAATCGCAATTTATATTACATGTTTTACTTTAATATTTCCAAAGATACACATATAAATGTGATGTAAATATTTCTTTTACAGTTTAGTCTCTAATTCAATTTTTAAAATTTAAAAGTTTTTAAGAAATTAATTCAAATATGCAATGAAAAAATAGTTTAGAAAATTGTTTAAAATGTGGCAACATCTTCAATAATTTTTTCAGCTATCTCTTGAGATTTGAAAATAAAGACGTTAAAATATAATAATCTTTTATTCTCTTCCATGTAATTTTCGTCTTCCCAATGGAGTATCATACCGAATTTTTGTGTTTTTAAATCACCTTTTCCTGCGCCTCCCATTTTTATCTGATCTTGATGTATGTCCGTGTTGCCAGTAAATTGAGCTTCTCTCTTACTACGTTTATATCCCCATGTCCATTTATTAGGTCGAACAGGAGACACAGACACACCCAGCTCGTATCGGAATTTCGAGAGATCTTCGCCATTTTCTATTAGTTGTTGTTGGCTTAACAACAAATCATACATCGAAGTGCCATCCTTAATGTAATTGAAAATACAACGACCACCTTCATTAGAAAATTCTGCTAATTTATGAATTTCATGTTTTTGACCATAATCGAATAATTCGCAAAGGTACGAATAACCTTCTTTATAATTATCCCATTCGACAATGAAAGTAACAGCAGTATTGTTTGTTGATATGACGACGTTAGTCCAGGCAACAGCTCGATTATTGGTTGATCGAACGTCTTTCAGCGTCAAAAGTATCTTGGGTTTTGGCGACCGGGATTCTATTTTTACTGTTAGGTAATTATCCTTAAATTCATCAGTTCGCGATCCGGTAAAAGCAATTTTGTCTTTTTCGTTAACGTCAACATAGTATAATCTTTGGATTTTCGATTCTTGAGTCTTATAAGCATACTCATTTATTTCCAAGTGGTCCTCGTGGTTGTACGGTGCAACTAGTTGAGTATTCACTACATTACGGCTTTTTACATTCTTGAGATCCACGCGTTTGTCCCTTGATAGCCAATTTTCTGCTAAATTGTTGATAGGATTTGGAAACAATGTCTTATCGGGTAAATTCAGCATATCTTTTAAATTAGGACATGCTTCTGGTTGTGTTATCCAATATCGCAGACTTCTTAATGACTTCTTATTATTCACTCGCACTCGATGACTGTATAAAAGCCATGTGATGTCCAATTCCGTCAGATTGTAGATGAATTTATTGTAGGCTTCGATTTTATCATGTTTTGCAATATTTTGAAATGGTACGTGTATTTCCTCGGAACGCTGGATCTCTTGACCTTTGTTATTTAAAAACACAATATCGGCACATTGATCATCACGGTAATGTTTTGGCAATGAAGCGAGAAATTTATCGCGCAAGGAATTGACCTTTTCGTTATTTTTCAAGACTATTCTTTTGCATAGATCGTTCAAAATACAAATATTTATTGAAGACTCTGCACTTTGACTGACAATTACATTACACTTGTCTTGTTGCAATATCATCCGGTTTTCAATTTGTCTATCGATGAAAACATTGCCATCCTTAAAATCTTCGTCATCTGCTAAATTCAGTTCTTTTCGTGCCGCTTCATAAATAACATACGGGGAGTCAAATGATTTGTTTACGTTCACTCCATTTCTTATGAAACAAAGTTCGACAGACGCACAAGAATAATTGACCAGAATCACTACTACGGAAGATAGTAACGAAAATTTGATTTTCATTGTAAAAGATTCAAGCCATACGTTATTGATGAAATTTGAAATCAAAACTGCCAACATGTTCAAATTGTCTCATATTTATAGCCAGAAAGCGACGCTTTCGATGATATACATATACATATGTACCAACCATTGGAAAACACAAAATTGGTTTCCGCTGATAATTATACCCTTGCAGAGGGTATTATAATTTTGTCCAAAAGTGTGCAACGCAGTGAAGGAGACATCTCTGACCCTAAAAAGTATATATATTCTTGATCAGGATCACCTCCTGAGTTGATATGAGCATGTCTGTCTGTTTCTACGCGAACTAGTCTCTCAGTTTTAAAGCTATCGACTTGAAACTTTACACAAGCCCTTCTTTCCTCTTTGACATGAGAGCTATTTTTTGGCAAAACATAACGACATGCCAAATTTTATAAGGATCGGCCGACTATATTCTATATCTGCCATATAACTGAACGATCGGAAATGACCCAACTTTCGTGTTTTTGAAGATAGAAAGCTGGAACTTGGTACAGATTATATTTTTGGTCAGTTAATCCGACCTACCAAATTTTATAACGATCGGTTGACTATATCTTATAGCTGCCATATAACTGAACGATCGGAAATGGTATTTGGTAGAAATACCAACTTTGGTATTTTTGAAGATAGAAGCTTGGGACATTTTTTTAATTAATTAATTAATAAATTGGTTTTAATATGATATTCTCATAAGGATCGGCCACCAATATCCGATGTTTGCGATATATATCCGGTTTTAACTGCAAGGGTATATAAACTTCGGCTCCGCCCGAAGTTAGCTTTCCTTTCTTGTTTTGGCATATTTCTGATAATTTTAAAAATTCGTTGCTAAAGTTTTATACCCAGTTTTACCCAGTAAAGTACGAGGGTATATTCCCGAGGGTATATTGCAAAAGGAATTTCAGATTCTGTTCTTGATCCAAATCATATATTCTTTTAGAATCGTCTGTCGTCCATGTACGTCTGCCTTTTTAAATGCTATTAGATTCAGGCAATATTTTTCGTCGTTCCTATTAAAAAAAATAGTAAGGACAAGAGTAATAGTACCGATTTTTAATAATAATCAAAAAGTTTATATGAGTTACTTTGTTTATATGAGATATGATGTGAAACACACAAAAGTATGCAACATTTTTTTTTACTTTAGGGAAAATATGATCAGGATCGATGATAATCACTGACTAAGGATCAATGTGAGTTTTCGGTGAACTTTGCTGCGGTGGACTTAAAGGGAAAATATACATAACTTTTATAGAAAGAATGGGTTTTTGTGATAGGGAAGAGCAAGTGGGTTCATGCTACGAAAATGACAAAATAGAATGTCCCCTGCGCATGATTTTATGTAATAAAATTTAATAACTTAGTCGTTAAGCGGACTTATACATATGACCTCAAATTCTCAAATTTTTCTAAAACCTCTGCAAGGTATCCGTTGCTTTAATATAGCAACGCTTTATTACTATACATATATATTAAGCTGCGGAATCGCCCAAAAATTTAGTATGTCTCTGGTTTTTCCCTTATATTGTTCATTATCATAGAGCGTGGCTTGTTATGATTATCGCGTTGTGTTTTTTGCAATTATAAATGCTTACATATTTGAAAAAATTTAAACAGAAAGCGATGCTTCTTACGCGATAAAGTATGAAACCAAATCGGAATAGTATAAATTAACAACGTTCGCCAAACCGAGCTCAGTTTCGTTTCGGCAATCAACTTGACTTGTAGTCGAGAGTTTGTGCAGTTCAAGACTTAATATAAAAATGTCGTCCATAAAGTATTTCTTCGTACTCATGGCTTCTTTGCTTTCTTTCGCAGGTGAGTCTTCAAAATTATGTTATTGCTATTAATTATTTTTTTCATAGATTTCGTATTTGTAATTAATTCATTAACAATAAATTAAAATATTCGTGCTAGTTTGCTTTTATTGAAACGCTAAAAAAATATATTATGTCGTGCTTATATCAACTCAGGAGGTGATCCTGACGTCCTGCTCTGCGTTGCACATATTTGACCAAAATTATGGAGGTTATAAAACTATTATAAAAGAAAGGTTATAAAAAGGTATTCCGTTTTACCTTTTTTTTATAACCTTTTTAAGGTTATAAAAGGAAATAATGCAATTAGAAAATTATAATTATATAATATAAATTGCAGAGGGTAGCAAGGATATAAACAAACCAAACCAAACGTGCTGTAAGTTTTTATGATGTTTTAATGTTTATTTTATAAAAATTGTACGTGCCTTAAAAACTTCTCTTCAATTTTCTTCCTTAATCTCAATTTCTCTCTCAATCACTCTCTTCAAAGCTCCCGCTTTGGCTCTTTTTGGCACAGTGATATGATAGTGTCGATGCACATAAAAATATATCAGAGTTTCACACCGATCTGACCACGCCTTCCCTAGCCTAGCCTTCCTCACTATCACTATTGCTAGCATCAATATTGGGAACATTGTTATTATTTGTCATGTTACAAGAAAATAGCAAATTTGATGATTCAAAAAGTTTGATTACTTCTGCTGGTAGGGATTTATACATATCGCTACAAAATGGAGCAAAAAAGGGTAATAAAATTAGTTTATATACACTTTTATTACAAATTTGGAAATTTTGTATAATCCACAATAGGCGGGTTAGCAGGTTATCTTTCTACTTTTGGACAACGCCAATAAACGCACACAAAGAACACTATCAAACATAATCAAAGTCTATCTTCCATAATTTTAGGAAAATGACTTAAACCACAAAAAATTGGCACGCTCACAAGCAAACAAAATCTTTCCCTCGCTCGAAATAAAACAGCTGACTTTAAAGGGCTGTGGTGCATCAAAGCAATTAAATTTATTTGATTCAT